CCCGTAGTCTAGCTCCCGTTGATAGAGTTATCTCCGCAGTGGGCTGCCTCATGTACCTATTGACTTGTACTCGTTCGGACCTCGCCTTTCCTCTCAGCGTCCTCTCTCGCTTTGTTGCGACTGAGAGACACCGTCTTGTTCACTGGACAGCTGCTGTGAGGGTGACGAAGTACCTGGCGACTACATCAAGCATGGGGCTTGTGCTTGGAGGGAGACAGCCAGTTGTTCTGACCGGTCACTGTGACTCTCCTACGCCGACGACATGGAGATACAGAGGTCCACTCAGGGGTACCGCGTCCGCTTGGGCGCTGGAGCTGTGTCGTGGAGGTCTACTTGGTCGTCGTCTTTCGCTTAGTCCAACGCAGAGGCAGAGATCTACTCTGGTGCCATGGCTGCACAGGAGCTTCGTTGGTTGACTTTCTTGTTTACTGACCTTGGTGAGTGGCCTCGATCTGCACCGACCTTGTTCGCTGACAACAAGGCCATGATCCTTCTTTGTCGAGAGCCTCGACTGGAGAGCAGAGTGAAGCACATTGACTTGAGGTACTTTCTCGTGCGAGAGTAGCAGCGGCGCAGCCAGACACGCTTGGACTTCGTGGCCTCAGCGGCCAACACAACAGACATTTTCACCAAGGCCTCAGCGCCTAGTGACCACCACAGGTTTTGTCTGCAGTTAAGACTTGTTGACACTGGTGTTCGTTTACTGTAGACTTGTTCCTTGTTGCTTCCTCTTCTTGTTGTTGCATCGATATATATTTATTAACTCTTGAACTGGTCTTGTGGTCGTTTGCTTGTACTCGGAATGTGTGGTGATCTTGAGATCCACCTTGAGCGTTGACTTGTTGCTTCTCTTGACTGGTCTTGTGACCATTTATTTCCCTTGGTTGTTCTAATGCCCCTCACTTAGTATATGGGGGTGTGTCAAATATTTATATCGTTTAGATATGGTTAGTTATTCTAGGCTACAATGAGTTGCCCTTTAAAGGGTACAACACTTTGTTTAGGTTAATACATTGCATCGACACTATTCTCTCGACTCCTCTACCTTGGCAACTTTAAGAGCACGCTCCACGTTTAAGCTCGGGCCCTCGCATCTCGGCTCTCTCCAACTCATACAGCTTCAATCACGTCTCGTATCGTCCCATGTTTCTAGATATGGTGGATCTTTTCCATCGCCACAAAAACACCCTGGGTACATTTTTTGTCGCAAAAACAAAGTAATCTAGCCATTTATATGAACATAAAATGTGGCCTTTGTTAGGCCAACACTATATATGAAGATGAAGGACTCGAGACCACGATGCAAGTTTTGATCAAGATAGAAGTGAGATATTAATGAGCATGTTGGTAAGCGATGGCGGCGAAGACAAAATGATTAAATCATGAGATTTTTGAAAGGTGTGGAGGTATATATAGACGGTCATGACGTACACAAGGAGAATGTTGTTCATTCGTCTAGAAAAACAGTATGTATTAGGAGCATGTCATGTCCAGCCCTGTAAAAAAATGATGGGGTGAAATTATTTGAAGCAAAAGTGAGGGGTCTGATCAATTTCATGAAAAGCCAAACACATATCGTATAGATATGGCCTTTTCGTAGAGAACAATGCATTTACCATTGTGCTGAAGAACGCGCTCTTGATGCTGACGTGTTTGAACATGGGTAGATGGACGAGGTCATGTATTTGACTACAATTAATGTCCAATTAAAGCTAGTAACGGCCCCTTATCGTTCTTCAAAACCGGGGTGCACATTCACCTGGGTGGGCATCAGGGGTTAACCTTTGATGCCCACATTACAGCCAGATTTCGCCCCAACCCCCAAAAAAATTGTTCCCCATCCCTTGCAATTTCTGAATGTGTACCCTGGTTTTAATCCAATCAATTGGATCGTAAGCATCAAATCCATTCTGTGAATCGTGTATGCCCGTAGTATTTGTTGCCCGTTATATTGTGTCTCCTTCCTTTCGTAATTCCCCTTCAAGTGTTGCATCTTTTCTGCTTCGCATCGACCCGGCATGTTCCCCCTTTTTCCTCCCAAGTCCCTTATCATGTCTCTTTCCTTCATCCCCGATCCCCCCTGCTAACCTTCCCGGCTCTAATATGTCGTCCTCAAATACTGTCCATACTCTTGCCTTCATGTCTCGGTTTGGGAATACATTATGCCAGAACCACCGTATTTAGTGTGCTCTCTCTAATATGAGAGCGGAATCCCAGACCACTCCTTCACCAATCTCCCAGTATCAGCTATTGCGATGCTCACACCATTTTCTTGCATCTCCCATCATATCCACATGCCCTAAAATGTAAGACTACCATCAATTTCATTCCTTCACCCATTGCATCACTTGGAACAACTTCTATAGCTGTTGGGTCCTTTCATCGCTTAGCCCCCTTCCTTTCCCTGCTCGTATTGTTCCTTGTCATTCCCATCCTGCCACTAAGAGGTCAACGTTTCCCTATTCCTGCACTATCTCCTTCGTCATTCGTTGTGCATCCCATTTTGTGATGTTACATGAGTTTTGCACGACCTCCATGCTCGACTAAGTTGGATACTGCTTGTGCGGTAGGGCTACATGCCACCAAGCCATGGCCCGTACCTCAATGTCAGTTCTCCGACCATCAATATTTCTTTCATTGTGGCCACCATTCTTGTTCCTATTCCCCTAAACTGCTCCACCAATGTGACAAATATGGCCAAATCAATCTTATGCCCTCCTTTTTCCTACTTAGTGCACTGTCTAGCATACCAGACCTTCTTAAGTTCAATCATGAATACAATTGGTAGCTCTCCCACCAAACTCTCCTCCTTCCAATACACATAGTGGTCCTCTTATCTCTCTAATTATATTAAGATATTAGCCCCCACCGTATGAAGCAGCTCCATCCCAACAAAATGTCATACACTTCAAATTTTGTGAGTCCATATTGGACATGCCTCCTCGTTTCCTACTCCTCGGGAAACATCACAACTTCGACTAGCTCCTCTGTACACGGCGTCCTCTTTGGTGCCCCTCCTTTTACACTCATAATCAACATTCCGTTATTGAAAATCTCTAGTGTTCTTTACTTCATTAACTACTCACCCTATTGACGGTTTATCAATGCACTCTGTGCTCATCCCCAATGGTGTTTTCAAATATCACCCCATCCACTGCTACCGCTCACGTTTTCGCGAGCAAGGTTGTCGTTTCGCACATCACGATTTCCTTGGGGTGCTGTCAAGCCTGTCCATCCAGCATTGCTGGTGTCTTTTTTACCTTGGGCGTCCCTATATCGTTGCGAGTATCGGCTCTCCCATCCATTGCTCTATTCCTCTGCCCAAGTTCTTCTCGATCTCCAAGCACTACTACCATAAGATTGAATTGTCCCTCTCCCTCATATCACTCTTCCGCCTCTTCATAGACCAGCATTAGCTTAGGATCCTCAATTTTCTCCTAGTTGTGGCCGCAATGCCTTGAGCTTCTGCTTGAGAAGCTGCTCCACGGCTGTCTTTTTGCGGCCTTTCTCTCCTCGGTGATAGCACCTTTCCTCGTTGTGGCCTATCTTATTATAGATGCTGCACATTGGTGCTTGAAGGAGAATTTCTCCTGAGATGACCTGCGCCTTCACAGGTGGCGTCGCATTATAGACTTTGCAAACATTCTCGTTGCATGTGTCCTACCTTGCCACACTTGTGATAGGTAGGACGTCCCCGAGCCCGTCCTTCCATCCGCCTCCTCCCCCACAGCCAAAAGTCACCATCCAGTAGGGCATACGCCTCTCTCCTATCTGGTGCACACTTCGCTTAGCACAGAAGAAACTTCTCCCTTTCTTAACCTCTTTGGCCACCTCGTACACTTGTCTGAGTTTTGCCTTGGCTTTCAGTGCGTACAACTTATCGTGCATCTCATTGATAAGATCCTCTTCCAAACCGTACACACATTTCATCATGAGAGTCCTCTCCTCCAAGCAACTGTGGGTCCTCCCCGGCTCCACCAGCTGCTTATAGTAGCCCAGAAATGACTCAGCGCGGCCTCCCCAAAACTCCTGGTACCCATCGATCCACTCCGCAAAATGCCCCAAGTTCTCCATGAAAATATTGAAGGAGCGCCACGTGATCTCATGCTGCTGGATGAATCCTTTTTGGCACTGAGCCAGCAACCCCGGTGCTTTCATCACATAGTTATCTGATTTGCAGATCAACGGACTGTGTTACCTCATACGTATAGTCTTAACAAAAGCTTACCATGTTCGCAAGCGGCGTGGGGGGAAACAGAAAGGCTTGAGCATGTTTTGTGGTGCACTCTATTGGTTGCTTCGTACTGTGCTTGGATGTGGCAATGAAATAATGACATTTTGCCACTACAATAGAAAGCTCGTGCTATTGAAGTCGTACTTCGTTCTTATTTGTCGATAAGTTTGGGCTCATGAGGATAGTACCCCACCACAATTTATCTGTATGTGCATAATGCCATGCCTGTGGGTGGCTGGAGAGGGGAACTATTAAAAAGGAATGGTGGTTAAATGCCCGTGCGAAGACCCCCAGTGCCTACAAAACCATGCATGATATGCTGCGTTATACATGGGTAAAGTGGGTGGAATCATGACTTCGTGCACCCAAATGTTTTGGCAATGCATGCATTGGCTTGTAGGTTGAGGTACTGTCGTGCGGTGCCCCTTGCGCACAAGTCATTGCTCCCCTGTCGGATTCAAGTTACCGTACACCTTTCGGAAAGAATGGCATCCTGTACACATCCATCTAGACGCTCTACACCCAATACTAATGTAAGAGCAGCAAGCTGGAATGCTACCAATTTTGCACAGCTGCATTATGCATCTGAATCTCGAAGTGGTACTCTAGGTGGAAAGAAAGAAAACCTTCCTGTAGTGTAGAGCAGTATGAAATTGGGAAGAGGATCCACAGTTGGTTTGCGAGCTCGACCTGGGGTGGCCCTGTCTCCTCGTTTTTTTTGTCTTCTCATAAGCTGGAAAGAAAGCCCTTTTTGTGGTGTAGAGAACTATGCGTCGGGGAAGTGTCGTCTAAGTTGGTCCACAGTGGTGGGGTGGTGGGTGATGGGGCAGCGACCAAACTGGATGGTGGGGATGGGAGGTGGTGAGGGGGTGGCGGAGAAGAGGGGGGAGAGAAAGGAAAAGTGCGATAGGAACAGAGTCAGCAGACGAGATGGAAGCATGCATGCATGCATGTGGCACGTGAATCATGTCACGACCACGGCGGGTCATCTGGATGCAAGCGCCATGTGAATCATGTCAACGTGCATGCAAACCGTACGCAAACTCATGAGCCAAAGCGTTGGTGACCTTAGCTTATACAAGTAGGTGCAGATGCCCATAGGCCTTACAGAAGGTGGCTGCATTCATCCAGCATCAGACCTTACAGGGTTACTTGCCTTGTCCACGAAGGCAAAGATACAGGGGTGGCGAAAGATGAGTGCTTCATCCAATATTTCACCAAAACAAAAGGACTACAAGGCTACTTACCTTAACCTGTTAAGCAGGATAAATGGGCAGCAGAAAAATACTGTTTTGATCCTACATTGCACCAGCAAACTTGTCCACGTGGGCAAATATGCAAGGGTATCAGAAAAGAACTGTTTCAATTCAGGACAGATTATAGGGTTACCAGGTTACAGGATTACTTGCCTTGTCCACGTAGGCAAAGATGCAGGGGTAGCAGAAGATGTACAGCCTGGGTTACATGGTTACCAACCTTATCCACGTAGGCAAAGATGCAGGGGTAGCAAAAGATGAAGCCAGAGGTGGCAGGGGCAGTGGGGTTGGTGCGACGGCAGAGGCAGAGCGGACACAGGGAGCGATCGGCAGGCACGGGAATGCCTGCAGGGGCCACCTGGAGGGAGAGAAAGGGAAACGAGGGGATGGGAATGGGAGAGAAAGGGAAACGAGGGAATGGGAATGGGAGAGAAAGGGAAGCGAGGGAATGGGAATGTGAGAGAAAGGGAAACAAGAGAATGGGAATGGGAGAGAAAGGGAAACGAGGGAATGGGAATGGGAGAGAAAGGGATAAACGGCATTGGCAGCAGAAGCAGAGGCAGAGCAGGCATAGGGTGAGTCAGCAGGCAGTGGGATGCCTGCAGGGGCCACCTGGGGGCAGACAAAAGGGAAGAGAAGGGAACGGGTAATAAAGAAATGAGTTATCCGAGAATGGGTGATGCGGGAGTGGCTTGTAAGCGTATAGGCTGAAGGGAATGGAATATAAGTGAATGGGCTGAAGCGCGTGGTTTCTAAGTGAAAGGGATGAAGGAAGTGATTAATAAGGGAATTGGCTGAAGGAAATGGGTCACAAGGGAATGGTTCGAAGGAATGGCGTGTAAGCGAACTGGCTGAAGGGAATGGGTTGACTGTTTTTTTGCACTTGCCCTGGGGTTGGTGGGGTGGGGGTTACTGCGAAGCGGAGGGTACAGTGGGAGCGCTGAGCTTACTGTCATACTATCATGGTACTACCATGTACACATAACACGTATTTAGGAAAAATGCACTTGCCTTGGGCGGTGGTGGGGGTGGTGGCGGAGGGTACACAGTTGGAGCACTGAGCTTCTGCTCGCCTGTCTGGTACCACCACTCAGCCATCTGATGGGGGATGAGTGGGGGGGGGGGGGGGGGGTAGATGAGTGAGTGGAGTCACATGAGTAGGCATGGGAGAGTGCAAGTATGGCATGACATAGCAGCAAGACGCACTCAGTGTCTGCTCGCCCGTCTGGTACCACCACTCAGCCATCTGATGGGGGATGGTGAATGAGTGAGTGGAGTCACATGAGCAGGCATGGGAGAGTGCAAGTATGGCATGACATAGCAGCAAGACGCACCCAGTGTCTGCTCGCCTGTCTCGCATCACCACTCAGCCATCTGATGCGGGAATGGGGACCGATAAGTGGAAACATCTCTAAGGGTGGGGGCATGGGGGAATCAGCGCACCACCACTCGGCCATCTGATGGCGGATGAGTGGGGGTGAACGAGTGGAAGCAGGCAGGGCAGGGCAAGGCAGAGTGTGGTCAGCAGGGATATCAGACAATATGGCAGCCAAACGCACTGAGCTTCTGCTCGCCTGTCTGGTACCACCACTCGGCCATCTGGTGGGGTTGTGAGCAAACAGAAGCCCGCAAGCAAGCACGTAAGGCAGAGAGCTGTTAGCAGGGATACTGTAAGGTGTAGCGGCAAGACGAGCTGGATTCTGTGAGGCATCTAGTCGGGGAACGCCAGTCGGTGGTATCCACCCACCACACAAGGTGACTTCTGAGTCGACTCAAAAGTCACCCACCACACACCCCTTCGTTAGGTGTATACTAAATTCGTTAGGTGTATAATAAACTCGTTAGGTGTACACTAAACTCGTTAGGTGTATACTAAACTCGTTAGGTGTATACTAAACTCGTTAGGTGTATACTAAACTCGTTAGGTGTATACTAAACTCGTTAGGTGTCATATAATCAACCAAACTACCCGTTGGCAGCGCTTTGCCATCTCATGGGGCATGGCAAGAAAAGAGCTGCAAGCCACATAACAATGCTCCTGAGGGTTACATTGATTAGTGAGCAATTAGAGTTCTGAAGAGACGTTCGCGATTACTAGGATGTGCAGCCAACCGCAAGGAAAGAAGCAGGAACGGAGAGGAGGAATTTGCTTCCTAAGGAAGTGATTTTCTTCTTCTTTCTTGAAGTGGGCGTACCTTGAAGGCAAAGACCACAGCGATGACAGACGTCTGGGCATAGTCCATGGTGAAGTAGAGGGCTTTCAGGAGCGCTGCTTGCACGGCCTGGTTTGGATGGGAGTGGGGGCGAGGGACAGGTTGGGAGAGGGGAAGCGGTGACAAGTCAAACAGCAACAGCAGCAGCAGCAGCAGCAGCAGCAGTGGTGAGAGAGGGCTGCGGCCCAGACTGTGGGCATGGTCCGTCTCAAAACTGGAAAAGTAGACGGCTTTTACAAGCGCTGCTTGCACAGCCTGGAGAGGATAACAAGCGATTGGGGAGGATAACAAGCGATTGGGGAGGATAACAAGCGATTGGGGAGGATAACAAGCGATTGGGGAGGATAACAAGCGATTGGGGAGTGAGGTGAGGAGAACGGAGGCCCACAAGACGTGTGAATGGCTTTCACTTGGAGGATCTTACCCTGTCCACACACTTGTATTGAAGGATAGAAGATCCAATACCTATCCTGTACTGCATGCTCTCGACCCCAATATATGACCAGTATTCCAGGCTATAACCCTAATAACACCCACATTGTGGCTATTAACCCTAATATCTCACCTTTATTGCGGGTGACCCCGGGAGGCGCTCGAACTCTCGCTGACGGCGGGTGGAGATAGAGGAAGATGCCTCGGCCAGCTCGGTGGGAGGGGAGGGGCGATGGGTCTGAGGCACTTGCCGACGCCAGGGATGGGAAAGAAGAAGATGCAGGGATGCATCCGCCTACACGGCAGGGATGGGGGCATGCTGGGTTTGAGGATCCTGAAGCTTTCTACACGGCAGGGATGGGGGCATGCTGGGTTTGAGGATCCTGAAGCATTCTACACGGCAGGGATGGGGGCATGCTGGGTTTGAGGATCCTGAAGCTTTCTACACGGCAGGGATGGGGGCATGCTGGGTTTGAGGATCCTGAAGCATTCTACACGGCAGGGATGGGGGCATGCTGGGTTTGAGGATCCTGAAGCATTCTACACGGCAGGGATGGGGGCATGCTGGGTTTGAGGATCCTGAAGCATTCTACACGGCAGGGATGGGGGCATGCTGGGTTTGAGGATCCTGAAGCTTTCTACACGGCAGGGAATTTCTCTGCTGGAGCCTTCCGTCTGCACAGCAGGAAGTGGCAGGAAGTGGCAGGAAGTGGTAGGAAAAGGCAGGAAGTGGCAGGAAAAGGCAGGAAGTGTAAGTGCTATGTTACACGAACACTGTTCACAGGTGGACAGAGAGGGAGAGGCAACAAGAGAAAGATAGGCAGAGACAGAGGAAGAGCCTTCTGCCTGGGAGTAGTGAGGGAGTATGCCTTGAGATGATGACTCACGTGCGCTTATAGTCACAGTTGCTTAGTCACATGCACGTACAGCAACATGTGCATAGTCAAATGAGCGTACAGCCAGGTGTAGATAGTCACATGCCCATACCGCCATGTGCGCGTACCACATAAACAAGCATAGCGAATCAATTCACAAGCCCAGTATCCTCACACATAAGACCTAGGAAAACAAAAAATCCCATTCATATGTGAAAACCATAAGGTACCTCGCGTTGTGAGAGTGCATGCCGCCTCACCAGCTCCTGTGGTGATGTGAGAGTGCATGCCGCCTCAACAGCTCCTGTGGTGATGTGAGAGTGCATGCCGCCTCACCAGCTCCTGTGGTGATGTGAGAGTGCATGCCGCCTCACCAGCTCCTGTGTAGTGGCTCGGCGCAGCGAGAGGGAGAGGAGGTGCAGCACGGGCGAGTAGTGCGGCGTGGCGTCCATCACGTAGAGCAGCTGGTACAGCAGACACAGACCTGGTGGTGGGGGGGAAGGGGTGGGACGTGGGGGAAAAGGGAAGGAACAAGGCACAGATTACAACGGTGAGTAGTGAGGCATGGCATCCATCACGTAGAGCAGCTGGTACAGCAGACACACGCCTGGTGGGTGGGGGGAAGAGAAGGAGGGGATGGGAAAATCGGGAATAAGGAAAAGAGGTTACAAAGGTTGGTTGTGAGGTGTGGCATCCATGACGTAGAGCAGCAGTACAGCAGATACAGGCGTGGTGGGGAAGGAAGGGGAGAGGGGAGCAACACCACTCCACATGTTCACTACCCCAGACCAACCCATTAAACCAGACATGCTCACCTTCATTCATATGGTGCCTGCACCCAGGGGTACGCCGCAGCGGCCCCTCTCAGCAGCCTGAGATGGAGCTTGTTTCAATCCAAAGGGCGACCTCTAACCTACGCCCACCCAGACTGCCTCACCTCCACATGTCATCAAACCAAGCCCACCCCACTCAGCTCATCTTCATATGGCGCCTGCACGTGTAAAAAGAGTAGTTTTGAGACGTCTCAAAACTACTCTTTTTCCACGTGGCATCCAGAGGTATGCCGCAGCAGTGCCTCTCAGGACCCTGAGACAGAACTTGCTTCACTAGGGCGAGCTTTAGCCTACTCCAGCCGACATGCTCACCAACCAACCCAGCCCAGACCGGCTCACGTTCATACGGAGCCTGCACCCAGAGGTACACCGCAGCAGCACCTCTCAGCTCGGCAGCTCGGCGATAGAGTCTGCTTTAAGGTGTGAGCTCTGGCCTTCTCCAAAACACACCGGCTCAATTTCCCACACAGACAGAGCTCACCTTCATACGGTGCTTGCACCCAGGGGTACGCGGCAGCGGCCCCTCTCACAGCCCGTCGCTGCACCCACCGCAGCACATGCAGCACCTGTCGCCACCTCCTGCTGCCCCTCGCACTGCTCCTGCTGCTGCCAATCGCACTGCTCCTCCTTCCCCCATTGTCCCTGGCATCTGAATTGCCAGCAGTGGCCCCTCCTGTCACCACCTGCCCCCCTTGCACGTCCACCTCCTCCTCTCCTGCTCCTCCCTCCGCACGCCCGTCGGTAACTCTTGCTGCTGCTCCTGCCACACCCTCACCCCCTGGCGTTTCGTCCCTCAATCCAGCAGTCCCCAACCCATCATCTAGCTGCTCGTGCCCATGCAGGGAACCAACAGAGCCCATGCTCCCAGGGTTGCTGCCACTCTCACTGCGCTCTTCACCTCCCATGGCCCCACCATACCCATCCCCTTGCCCGAGACCAGCATTATTTCCCCCATCCCCCCCCCGCCCCCACTCCACCTCCCCCGTTCCCCCCCACCCATCGTCCCCCCCATCGTCCTCCCCCACCCACAGTGCGCGGGCCTGCCTCTGCCTTTGGCGGGCAGCAAACAGAGAGTGCAGCTTGGTCCGCAGGTAGGGCAGCAGCACCTGGCGTGTGGTAGAGGGTATGGGGTGTAGTTGATTCGACTTAAAGAGCGGGCCTGCCTCTGCCTTCGGCGGGCAGCAAACAGAGCATGCAGCTTGGCGCGCAGGTAGGGCAGCAGCACCTGGAGTGCAATAACGGGTATGGGGTGTAGTCGAGAGATAATAAGCAAACAACGCGCGGGCCTGCCTCTGTCTCTGGCGGGCGGCAAACAGGGCATGCAGCTTGGCGCGCAAGTAGGGCAGCAGCACCTGGTATGTGGTAGAGGGTATGGGGTATATTAGTGGAGAGATGAAAGGGTAGTGGTTGCATTACAACTTATAGCAAACAGAGTGCAGCTTGGCGCGCGCAGGTAAGGTAGCAGCACCTGGTATGTGTTGGTTGGAGGGTATGGGGTGTAGTTGAGAGATGAACGGGTAACAAGGTAGGGTGCAGCATCACAGCTATATGGCACGCAAAGCATGCAGATTAGCGCGCAGGTAGGGCAGGAGAAACAGGAATATAATAAAGGGTACATGGTGTAGTAGAGAGATGAACGAAGGGTGGGTATTGGTGCAACATAAATCAACCTGTAGAGCAACAGTAGAATTTACCCTCCTCACCCTAACCAGAACATACCCCCTGCATCCCCAACCGAAACCCCTTGACTCTGAACCCCAACCCTAAACGCCAACTGACCAGAAAGAGAAGAGAAAGCGCCCCCTGCTTGCGAGACATGCCATATGATGCCGACCCGCCCTCCTGTCCCCCTGCCGCCCTCTCTCCTCTGCCTGCTCCCTCCGCCCTTCCTGCTGCTGCCTCTGTCCGTAGAGCTGCTTGGCTGGGTGAAGGGCGGTGGGGAACGGTGGAGATGCGGCGAAGGCCATACATGGACTCACCGAATGAGGCGCCTGGGAAGAATAGCAGGGAGGTGACGATGGGGAAGAGGTGGGGAGAGGTGAGTGGGGAAGCGAACAATAGAGATCTGACAGTCATACGTACGGAGGGGGGAGGTAGAGAAGAAGAGTGGCATGGCGATGTGTGATACATGTGACACACTTGGTTTGGTTGGATGTGAAAGTAAGGAGTACATGTCACTATACTGTACTGTGCATATTGAGCGAGTGCCATTCGAGCAGCAGCAGCAGGTTAGAAGAAGACAACAAGAGCTCATAACGAGTACAGAGTGCAGTACCATGCGTGTTGAGAGAATGCCACTCGAGCAGCAGCAGCGCGACAGCAGAGAGCTCATCGCTGTGGTCCAGCACACAAGAGCTAATAACGAGTACAGAGGGCAATACCATGTGTCTTAAGCGAGTGCCACTCCAGCAGCAGCAGCGCAGCAGCAGAGAGCTCGTCGCTGTGGTCCAGCAGGCTGTGCAGCGAGGGACGGTGCTGTGCCAAGACCTGCACGGAGAGAGTGGGAGGTAGAGGCCAGGGAGGAGGGGGAGGAAGACGCAGTATGAATGCAGAGACGGTTCACCCTGCACTCGAATCACTGCCTGTACAGCAGCACACCTCAGCGCAGCAGCAGAGAGCTCGTGGCTGTGGTCCAGCCGAGCCGGCAGTGCAGCGACAGGCGGTGCTGTGCCAACACCTGGGGAGTAGGGGTCGGAGACGAGAGAGGAGAGGGAGTGTGCATTTAAGCTCATAGCGGCACGCTCATGGCATGTGCAGCAGCCATGGTGATGCCGTGGCAACTCCTCCTGCACACAGAGGGAAGGGGGTGGGAGAAGGCGAGGCGAGGGGTTGGCCGGTTTGAGCTCTCAGGGATTGGAGGATAGGGGTTGGCTGGTTGCGGGGAAAGGGCAGGCCGCAGGGGGGAAGGAGAGAGGGTGGTACGCGAAACGACGGAGCTGATTAAGAAGTGAAAACCTCCAGATGTAGGATTTGATTCATTCTATGCCACCACAAAACCGGCATGCGTCAAGACCGCCTCCTCTCTCTGTGCTGCAACCATCTCTTCCCGCGCCCCACCATTTTCCGCCCTCCTTCCTTCCCCGCCTCCCTCTCTTCCCCCTTCTCTCCTTCTCCTCCCCCACAAGTGGATTCAGGTGACGTGGCAATGTTGTACGCACCCCTAGAGCGTATAACGCGGCGGCTTTTAGCGAGTCGGGGAGGAAATCGGCCGCCGCCATCTCTAAGAACGTCGGCCGACTGCCCTCCGCGCCCGCCGCGTGGAACAACATGGCGCGATGTGCGGTGAGATATGCAGCGGAATGTGCAGCGAGGTGTGCGACGCGACAATAAAGAGTCTAGGAGGGAGAACCGGCGACGGTACTGAACAGGTCAACAGAAGCGGGATCCACTACCCGTTATCTATAGGAAAGCTGTCCGCGACTCGAGCTACGACTTGAACTGCTGCCTTTGAAATCGTTGGGGTGGTAACCATATCGCGACGCACTTGGTAAGGGTTCAAAAAGTGCAGGACAAGTCAGTCGGAGAACCAGTATGGTGCATTGCAGCTTATTTGTCTTCCAATTCGGTTTCGCGTGGTATTCAACAGTAACAGAGACTCGAAACTTTTGCGAACGTTGTACCTAGCTCCACCGCGCTGAACCCACAAACTCACACAGAAAGCATCTGTTTATCGAAGTCTAGGCTCCGAACTGAAATTCAACCGACCCAAAACTAATATTAACCACTGCTCGCACATGTCCAATTTGGGTGCTTTATGAACAAAGATATGGCGAAGTAGCCATACTAATGTGTAGAGATGGATGTGCGTGCTTCCTGGCGGAAACCATGCTCGGCTTAGTATTCTTGTAGGCAACATTCGTGCCGCGTCGCAGCATTGCGTGGCACGCGCTTTTGGCGGGACGAAAGTGACACGACGCATCGCGGATAACCCATGTTAGCGGAATCGCTCCGTACTTGGCTCCATGGCCTGGCGATTTGCGCTCCTTGTTTTGCTCCTCTCCCTTCTCCCCCTCGTGCTCCCGCATTCTATCCGCCTCCCCTCCGCACCTTGCGTCGCGCGGATCGCCGAGCGGAGCCTCGAGGGGCGCGGGGCGCACCGCGTGCTGCGCACGTCGCTCCGCGTGGCATGCCGCGCCGACGTGTTCCGTCCACGTCATACAGGCGGTGCACACGTGGCCTGCGGAGAAGCGCCCGTAACTGGAACGGGGATCCGCGGTGACAATGGGATTGAGGGAGAGACGGAAGGAAGGAGAACGGACGGCGGAGAGGAGGAGCAGCAGACAGATGGGTGCAGAGCGGTACCAGAGCAGCGAACCCAGTCCAGTAGCTGCACTGCTGCTGATGAACAAGTGGGAAGCAGTGGGGCGGCAGGGAGGACACGTGTCACGATACGATTGGAGCAGCCCGTGCCACGTGGGCTGTACGCCGATCCGTTTGAGCTGGAGCGAATCCAGCGACCAGGTGAGGGGAGGAGGTGCGTTAGTGGGCGCATGGGATGGTGAGAAGATGGGGAGGGGGGGGCGTTCTTGGGCGCGTGAGGGGAGGAGGGGGAGAGGGGAAGTGGGGAGAATGCGCAGTGAAGGCGGGGGAGTGTGCAGTATGGGAGGGGGGGGGGGGTGCGGGCGGCACATTGAGGAGGGGACAGGCGCAGTAAAAGGGGAAGAGAGTGCTGTTGGTGCTGTTGGTGCTGATATTTTTTCTGCTTTTGCTTTGAACCCCACCCTTCTGCCTCGTCTACCTCCTGCCCTTCCTCCCTCCCTCCCTCTCACCCCTTCTCCCACTCCCGTCCTCCCCCCGTTGCGTCCCGTCTTCCCTCCCTCACCTCCGAGCCAGCCGGCGACCGAGCCTGGGTGGTAGGACCGGTGGAGCTGGAGCAGCCGGCGCCGCGGTGTGAAGCAACAGAGGCAGTGATGGACGTGGCATTGGGGGAGGGGGAGCAGAAGGGGGAGGGGAAGGGGGAGGGGAAGGGGGAGGGGAAGGGGGAGGGGAAGGGGGAGGGGAAGGGGGAGGGGGAAGGCGCTGCAGGGAAAGTGAGGAAGGAGGAGGGTGCAGGGGACGAGGAGGGGCGGGGGGAGGGGGACGGGGATATGCGAGTGGGGGAAGACGAGGTTGCTTTCTCATTGGAGTTCAGTCTGCCTCTGCACTCTCGTTATCCAGTAACCGCTCTATATTCTGTCACCACTAACTAATCTTCCTATTATCCACATTTTATTTTCCGTGCATGCCGCATGTTGTGCCTACTGCAACCCTTGTTACATGGTATCCATGTGGACCACCATCCACATGTTCGTATTGTTTTCCAATATTTGCTAACATAACCTATCTAACTCATTGTGAATTCTCATCCACCACCTCCCCATCTCTCCATTCCCTTCTCCCATCAGGCTGTGCTGCCAGCTCTCTCCCCCCCATTCTCCCCTCTCTCCCTCCTCTCCACCACTCACTCGTTTTCCTGGAACCACTCCGCCCTCTCCTCTCTCTATTCTCTCTCCACCCTCTCCTCTCTCACACAAGCCGTCACCGGCAGCTGCAGCCAATCGCACGCTGCGGTTCATGTGCCCTTGCCTTCCGCATGCCTCGTTCTCCCTCCTCCCCCAATCCGCCCGGGACCATCTGCCTTGCGCACATCAGCACCACCGTCACCATCACCATCAGCAGCAGCATCAGAATCACCATCAGCATCAGCATCAGCAGTATGTGATGCCGTCACTACACCCCGCTGCGAGTGCCTTCCTATGCAGCTCACATGGTCTTCACAAACAGCACCTGCAAATGGGGAAACGGACAGGTCTGGGGGAGCAGCAAGACTGGGAGGAGACTCGGAGGGAGACGAAGCAGAGCAAAGGCATGAGGAGGTGAGGAGGGAGACGGAGGAGGAGGGGGCGTTGCTATGGGAGGTGCCGGCGGGGTGTGCTGCCCACACGCCCCTGGTGCTGTGGGGTACGTCCCTAGCTGCTGCTGTGGGGGCTCTGGTGCTTGTTGCCGTGGCTGCTGCTGCTCCAACGCACACAGCAGGCACTAAGGCCAGCAGTTGAAGCATGGAACAAGTGTACAAGTGTCTCATGTGCACTCATCTGCTTCAGTGCACATTGGAGTTACCAAGGCCTGGAGATGGCGTGTGAATTGGCAGGAATGAGAGGATTAGACGAACAAAGCATTCGCTGCTGTGGCTATGGTGACGCTGGTGCTTTTGTAGTTGCTGTGGCTGTTCTAGTGCAGAGAGGAGGAACGAAGATGTGGCATGCAGTACTACCGGTAGTCGTACTCCACTTGCTCAGTTTATCATGTTCAGCATAGAGCACGATGCATTTGTGTCTAACGAGTCCATGCAAGTTGTTTAAGCTCACAAGCGGGTGTTCAGGATGTGCGTGAGGAGAGAATGTGTCACACAGTGAGTACCAAGGCTGTTGTTGCCTTTGACTGGACTGTTAATGCTCTTGAATTACAGGTAAACACTTCAGTACCATCGAAACACAGCATTTTCTTTAACAAGCATTTATTGATTATATATGTGAGGCTACAAGACGAGCAAGCAAATAGCCTAACTGGCGTGTCAAGGTATGCTCGTGCCAACTATTAGAAGTGCCCCGATCAGAGCCATCCTTTCGGGAGCGCCCGGACCAGAGCCATTCCTATGGGAGCGCACCGGACCAGAGCCATCCCTATGGGAGCGCACCGGACCAGAGCCATCCCTTTGGGAGCGCACCGGACCAGAGCCATCCCTTAGGGAGTGCTCCGGACCAGAGCCATCCCTTTGGGAGCGCACCGGACCAGAGCCACCCCTTGGGGAGCGCTACAGGCCAGAGCCATCCCTTTCGGGTGCGCACTTGACTTGATGTCAACCTGGAGGAGAGAACTCAAAGCACAGCCACAGCTGAATGGCAGCAGATGATCACCCTTCCAACCCCCACCAATTTCCCAACCCTCTCTCCCAAATACCCTGACAAGCAGGGTGCAAAAAAAGGACCCACCATCATCCCACTTCCCCAACCACCCAACCACCCCACCGCTGCTGGAATCTGCTCGGGCTCTGCCCTCCGGTTTTTTTTTTTTTTTTTTTTTTTAACGCTTTTTTATTTGTCTTTTTGTTTTTTTAACCAGGAGGAAATCAGGTCCCTTTTTCCACGGGGATCCTCTGGGAGGTCCCCTTTCTCATGTGACTCGGGTGCAGTCTTGGTAGATCAGCTCAGCACGTTGGAGGTTGGAGTTTGCAGCGGGCCACAGCAGCGCCTACGGCCGCCACGGACGCCGTGAGCTCGCAGCCAGCACCACCTTGGACGACGATACAGCACGAACCTTCTTCTTTGCAGCCGCGGGTATTGCACCACTCTTGTCGTCAAGCTGCTTCGCGCCATTGGAACTCCTTCTGCTTCGCACCCGCTTCTCAGCTGCAACAGGTCGTGGAATCAACGTCGTCCCCTCCGCGCGGCTTTTCACGATCGATCTCTGGCCGCTTGGTTTGGGGATGCGAGACGGCAGCAGGTGTAGCGTAGGCACTGAGCTTGTCGTTGCCTTCCCCAAGCCAGCTGCTACGGCCGTCAGGGAATCTTCAGCCGGCGGTAGCGATAATGCAGATTGCGACGTCACCGATTCCGACAACACCGACTCGCATGTCAATGGTTCTGACGTAGCTGGCTCCGAAATTTCCGGTTCTGACGTCATCGGTTCGGACATCATTGGTTCCGACGTCCCAGCCAGTACATACGCCACCGGATCTGGAGATGACGAAGCGGATGCGGTCGGATCCCATGTCGGGGAGTCGTGCGTCAGCGATGCAGCAGCGTCGACCAGACATGCTTCACTGCGGCTGGCGTCGCCGACGCTCTCAGTGACGGTGGCGTCAGCGCAGGAGAGCACCGCGTCGCTGGCCTCGCTGCAGCAGGGCGTCAGGCTGAGGCTGCTAACCTGGCGGAGTTTGCTCGCGTTGCTGGAGGCGCTCCGAGGCTGCAGCGATGGTTTCGTCGGTTTGTTGCTATCGAGGAACTTCCAGAAGCTAAGAGCGTTGTCGAAGTACGACGGGTAGTCAGACTCTGAGGCCATAGTGCGGATTCTTCACGAGATGAGCAAACGTTGAGAGATGATATTTATGCTAGAACCGATAGTATGCGAAAGCTAGGATGATTGCATGAACGCTATGGCTGCAGATTTGTAGGCACTGTCGAGTCGAGTAGGGGAATGGAGGGGATGGAGGTGAAAAGGGTCACCTCCGGTCTGGGAGGGAGGAGGGCTGCTCAGGCTCGGATCTGCTGGTCAGGCTCGGGAGCGAGAATGGCGCAAGGTGTTCTCGAGAACCTGACCTGCCCAACTTTGTGCTCATTTGGCCTTGTGAAGATCGTGTGGCTTCCTTAGTTCAAGTTTTGGGCCCGCGCTGCTACTACAGCAAGACTCCTTGCTGTGAATCAAGCCCACGAGCATTCCGGGCTACTACCGAGATTTCAAAGACTGCCCTGAACAATGTTTGAGCGGACCATGGAAAGTGTTCTGACCGCGCTACGTACGGCAGGATTCGGCGAAATTTGAGCTCGCAATGAGCGACAATCTCAGGGGAAGCCAGTCAACACCAGTGCTTGACTACGAATGCTAGTAAACCATACTCACGACCTCTATAAATCTCAATACCGTACAGGATCTCTCTAAACTGTGTTACCCCGAAAGATTCGCATGTGAAGCTTGGGCCTGAATTTTGGTGCCGAACCTCCTCGCCTTGCTATCGCGCAAACCGAAATCATGTTTAGAGGTTCTCGGTTAGTGCTGCTGCTACACTTTCCCAGTTATTTAATTAGTGTCATCTAATCTCCCTTAACAGATGCTAACTTGCGACCACTATTGCATATCACTATGAATGAATGGATTGAATCTAACTACGATGAAAACACATGAATACATGCATACGTATATAAATAACCCTATACTAATACATATACCAGCATGCAGCAACCAGAGTTCTAAGACCTCATCAGAGAGTAGGCTGCAGTGACAAAACATGTTCAGAGAACTAGTTTCAATATATAAAAACATATATATTGGCAAGGCAGAGGTGCCTGAGTTGGTTTACGAGCTGGAACTGGGGCAGCCCTCTCTAGTCTTTTGAGTCGACTCAAATATTACCTCCCAGCGGTGTAGAGTATTATGCATCGGGAAAGAGGCGCCTGAGTTGGTCCACAGTGGTGGGGTGGTGGGTGATGGGGCAGTGACCGAACTGGAGAGCGACGATGAGAGGGAGAGGGAATGGTGGAGAGGGGAGAGGAGAGGGAAGATGAGGGGAGAGGATGGTGGTGAGGGGGATGGTGGAGAGAGAGGGGAGAGGAGGGAAGATGAGAGGGGAGAGGATGGTGGTGGGGGGGATGGTGGAGAGGGGAGAGAAGTTGGGAGAGGGAGGGGAGGGAAGTGGCAAGAGAAGGGAAACGTTGGATTGGGAAAGGAACGGGGAGGAGAGGCAGCACAAAGGGGAAGCAAACAGAAAGGAAACAGTTTATGGCTTCAAACAAAGGGTAAACCATGGGGGAATGCAAAACCAAATCATGTGCAATCACTTATGCGAAACATGCAGAATGAGGTAAACAAGGCCGTTAATTAACATGAATAATATATACATATATAAAGGAACTTCAACATTCAACCCACATGGGTCATTTGCCTCACGTCCCCAAGCAATGAAGTGAGCAGAAGCAAAGCAAATCTGTTAGGCAACTCTTAGCAAGTGCGACCTCGGTCCTTGGCAGCATAAGCCAGCATGTGAGCAAAAGGGCAACATGAATAGCAACGCAGAGGTCAGGAGGTCAAGAGCCCCCTGCATTACTTGCCTTATCCACATAGGCTAGCATGCACGGGTGGCAGAAGATGAGTGTCTCGTTTCAACGCAGGTTACAGGGTTACCAGGGTACATGATTACTTGCCTTATCCACGTAGGCAAATATGCAGGGGTAGCAGAAGATGAAGCCGGAGATACAGTCTGGGTTACAGGGTTACCAACCTTATCCACGTAGGCGAAGATGCAGGGGTAGCAGAAGATGAAGCCGGAGGTGCCAGGGGCAGTGGGGTTGGTGCGACGACACAGGCAGAGCGGACACAGGGAGCGATCAGCAGGCACTGGGATGCCTGCATGGGCCACCTGGAGGGGTGAGGGGCGGAAGGGGAAACAAAGCGGCAGGGGCGGTAGGGTTGGTGCGACGACACAGGCAGAGTGGACACAGCGAGCGATCGGCAGGCACTGGGATGCCTGCAGGAGCCACCTGGAGGGGCGAGGGGCGGAAGGGGGAGGGGAGAATATGTTCAACAAGAATGATGGGAAATAAGTTACAGGCAGAGTGGACACAGAGAGCGGTCGGCAGGCACTGGGATGCCTGCAGGGGCTACCTGGAGGGAGAGAAAGGGAAACGAGGGAATGGGATAAACGGCATAGGCAGCAGAGGCAGAGGCAGAGCACGCACAGGGTGTGTCAGCAGGCAGTGGGATGCCTGCAGGGGGCACCTGGGGGTAGACAAAAGGGAAGAGAAGGGAACGGGTAATAAAGAAATGAGTTATCCGAGAATGGGTGATAGTGGAGTGGCTTGTAAGTGTATGGGCTGAAGGGAATGGAATATAAGTGAATGGCCTGAAGCGCGTGGTTTCTAAGTGAAAGGGATGAAGGAAGTGAATAATAAGGGGATTGGCTGAAGGAAATGGATTACAAGGGAATGGGTCCGAAGGAATGGTGTGTAAGTGAACCGGCTGAAGGGAATGGGTTGACCGTTTTTGTGCACTTGCCCTGGGATTGGTGGGGGTTACTGCACAGCGGAGGGCACAGTAAGAGTGCTGAGCTTACTGTCGTACTATCATGGTACTACCATGTACACGTTGTGAATCAGGGGGCTTTGAGGAGCGCCGTTTGTATGGCCTGGATGGGGAGAGGAGAAGAAGTGAGAAGAACGAGTGAGGAATGGGGAGGAATGAGGAGAAGGGAGCAGCGGGAGGCCAATGTGAAAGGGAAGTCCAAAACCACACCCGTACTGCAAGCTATCAACCCCAATATATCACCACTATTCCAGGATATTAACCCCACTTGTATCAACACGCACACTGCTGGCTATTAACCCCGATGTCTCACCCGTATCGCAGGTGAACCTGGCAGGCGCTCAGACTCTCGCTGGCGGCGAGTTGAGATGGAGGAAGAAGCCTCTGCCTGCACGGTCGGAAGGGAAGGGATTTAATTATTTGAAGGCATCCCAAGAATACACTTGGCAGACATGCTGAGAAAACAGTAGATGCATCCGCCTGCAAAGCAGGGAGAGGGAGAGGGAGATGAGATGCTTAGTTTGAGTGAGGTGCTTCAAATTTCTCCCACTGAAGATGGGGCAGAGACTGAAGATGGGGCAGAGACTCAAGATGGGGCAGAGACTCAAGATGGGGCAGAGACTCAAGATGGGGCAGAGACTCAAGATGGGGCAGAGACTCAAGATGGGGCAGAGACTCAAGATGGGGCAGAGACTCAAGATGGGGCAGAGACTCAAGATGGGGCAGAGACTCAAGATGGGGCAGAGACTCAAGATGGGGCAGAGACTGAAGATGGGGCAGAGACTGAAGATGGGGCAGAGACTGAAGATGGGGCAGAGACTGAAGATGGGGCAGAGACTCAAGATGGGGCAGAGACTCAAGATGGGGCAGAGACTCAAGATGGGGCAGAGACTCAAGATGGGGCAGAGACTCAAGATGGGGCAGAGACTCAAGATGGGGCAGAGACTCAAGATGGGGCAGAGACTCAAGATGGGGGCAGAGACTCAAGATGGGGCAGAGACTCAAGATGGGGCAGAGACTCAAGATGGGGCAGAGACTCAACTCAAGATGGGGCAGAGACTCAAGATGGGGCAGAGACTCAAGATGGGGCAGAGACTCAGATGGGGCAGAGACTCAAGAATGGGGCAGAGACTCAAGATGGGCAGAGACTCAAGATGGGGCAGAGACTCAAGATGGGGCAGAGACTCAAGATGGGGCAGAGACTCAAGATGGGGCAGAGACTCAAGATGGGGCAGAGACTCAGATGGGGCAGAGACTCAAGATGGGGCAGAGACTCAAGATGGGGCAGAGACTCAAGATGGGGCTCAAGATGGGGCAGAGACTCAAGATGGGGCAGAGACTCAAGATGGGGCAGAGACTCAAGATGGGGCAGAGACTCAAGATGGGGCAGAGACTCAAGATGGGGCAGAGACTCAAGATGGGGCAGAGACTCAAGATGGGGCAGAGACTCAAGATGGGGCAGAGACTCAAGATGGGGCAGAGACTCAAGATGGGGCAGAGACTCAAGATGGGGCAGAGACTCAAGATGGGGCAGAGACTCAAGATGGGGCAGAGACTCAAGATGGGGCAGAGACTCAAGATGGGGCAGAGACTCAAGATGGGGCAGAGACTCAAGATGGGGCAGAGACTCAAGATGGGGCAGAGACTCAAGATGGGGCAGAGACTCAAGATGGGGCAGAGACTCAAGATGGGGCAGAGACTCAAGATGGGGCAGAGACTCAAGATGGGGCAGAGACTCAAGATGGGGCAGAGACTCAAGATGGGGCAGAGACTCAAGATGGGGCAGAGACTCAAGATGGGGCAGAGACTCAAGATGGGGCAGAGACTCAAGATGGGGCAGAGACTCAAGATGGGGCAGAGACTCAAGATGGGGCAGAGACTCAAGATGGGGCAGAGACTCAAGATGGGGCAGAGACTCAAGATGGGGCAGAGACTCAAGATGGGGCAGAGACTCAAGATGGGGCAGAGACTCAAGATGGGGCAGAGACTCAAGATGGGGCAGAGACTCAAGATGGGGCAGAGACTCAAGATGGGGCAGAGACTCAAGATGGGCAGAGACTCAAGATGGGGCAGAGACTTCAAGATGGGGCAGAGACTCAAGATGGGGCAGAGACTCAAGATGGGGCAGAGACTCAAGATGGGGCAGAGACTCAAGATGGGGCAGAGACTCAAGATGGGGCAGAGACTCAAGATGGGGCAGAGACTCAAGATGGGGCAGAGACTCAAGATGGGGCAGAGACTCAAGATGGGGCAGAGACTCAAGATGGGGCAGAGACTCAAGATGGGGCAGAGACTCAAGATGGGGCAGAGACTCAAGATGGGGCAGAGACTCAAGATGGGGCAGAGACTCAAGACTGGGGCAGAGACTCAAGATGGGGCAGAGACTCAAGATGGGGCAGAGACTCAAGATGGGGCAGAGACTCAAGATGGGGCAGAGACTCAAGATGGGGCAGAGACTCAAGATGGGGCAGAGACTCAAGATGGGGCAGAGACTCAAGATGGGGGCAGAGACTCAAGATGGGGCAGAGACTCAAGATGGGGCAGAGACTCAAGATGGGGCAGAGACTCAAGATGGGGCAGAGACTCAAGATGGGGCAGAGACTCAAGATGGGGCAGAGACTCAAGATGGGCAGAGACTCAAGATGGGGCAGAGACTCAAGATGGGCAGAGACTCAAGATGGGGCAGAGACTCAAGATGGGGCAGAGACTCTAAGATGGGGCAGAGACTCAAGATGGGGCAGAGACTCAAGATGGGGCAGAGACTCAAGATGGGGCAGAGACTCAAGATGGGGCAGAGACTCAAGATGGGCAGAGACTCAAGATGGGGCAGAGACTCAAGATGGGCAGAGACTCAAGATGGGGCAGAGACTCAAGATGGTGGCAGAGACTCAAGATGGGGCAGAGACTCAAGATGGGGCAGAGACTCAAGATGGGGCAGAGACTCAAGATGGGGCAGAGACTCAAGATGGGGCAGAGACTCAAGATGGGGCAGAGACTCAAGATGGGGCAGAGACTCAAGATGGGGCAGAGACTCAAGATGGGGCAGAGACTCAAGATGGGGCAGAGACTCAAGATGGGGCAGAGACTCAAGATGGGGCAGAGACTCAAGATGGGGCAGAGACTCAAGATGGGGCAGAGACTCAAGATGGGGCAGAGACTCAAGATGGGGCAGAGACTCAAGATGGGGCAGAGACTCAAGATGGGGCAGAGACTCAAGATGGGGCAGAGACTCAAGATGGGGCAGAGACTCAAGATGGGGCAGAGACTCAAGATGGGGCAGAGACTCAAGATGGGGCAGAGACTCAAGATGGGGCAGAGACTCAAGATGGGGCAGAGACTCAAGATGGGGCAGAGACTCAAGATGGGGCAGAGACTCAAGATGGGGCAGAGACTCAAGATGGGGCAGAGACTCAAGATGGGGCAGAGACTCAAGATGGGGCAGAGACTCAAGATGGGGCAGAGACTCAAGATGGGGCAGAGACTCAAGATGGGGCAGAGACTCAAGATGGGGCAGAGACTCAAGATGGGGCAGAGACTCAAGATGGGGCAGAGACTCAAGATGGGGCAGAGACTCAAGATGGGGCAGAGACTCAAGATGGGGCAGAGACTCAAGATGGGGCAGAGACTCAAGATGGGGCAGAGACTCAAGATGGGGCAGAGACTCAAGATGGGGCAGAGACTCAAGATGGGGCAGAGACTCAAGATGGGGCAGAGACTCAAGATGGGGCAGAGACTCAAGATGGGGCAGAGACTCAAGATGGGGCAGAGACTCAAGATGGGGCAGAGACTCAAGATGGGGCAGAGACTCAAGATGGGGCAGAGACTCAAGATGGGGCAGAGACTCAAGATGGGGCAGAGACTCAAGATGGGGCAGAGACTCAAGATGGGGCAGAGACTCAAGATGGGGCAGAGACTCAAGATGGGGCAGAGACTCAAGATGGGGCAGAGACTCAAGATGGGGCAGAGACTCAAGATGGGGCAGAGACTCAAGATGGGGCAGAGACTCAAGATGGGGCAGAGACTCAAGATGGGGCAGAGACTCAAGATGGGGCAGAGACTCAAGATGGGGCAGAGACTCAAGATGGGGCAGAGACTCAAGATGGGGCAGAGACTCAAGATGGGGCAGAGACTCAAGATGGGGCAGAGACTCAAGATGGGGCAGAGACTCAAGATGGGGCAGAGACTCAAGATGGGGCAGAGACTCAAGATGGGGCAGAGACTCAAGATGGGGCAGAGACTCAAGATGGGGCAGAGACTCAAGATGGGGCAGAGACTCAAGATGGGGCAGAGACTCAAGATGGGGCAGAGACTCAAGATGGGGCAGAGACTCAAGATGGGGCAGAGACTCAAGATGGGGCAGAGACTCAAGATGGGGCAGAGACTCAAGATGGGGCAGAGACTCAAGATGGGGCAGAGACTCAAGATGGGGCAGAGACTCAAGATGGGGCAGAGACTCAAGATGGGGCAGAGACTCAAGATGGGGCAGAGACTCAAGATGGGGCAGAGACTCAAGATGGGGCAGAGACTCAAGATGGGGCAGAGACTCAAGATGGGGCAGAGACTCAAGATGGGGCAGAGACTCAAGATGGGGCAGAGACTCAAGATGGGGCAGAGACTCAAGATGGGGCAGAGACTCAAGATGGGGCAGAGACTCAAGATGGGGCAGAGACTCAAGATGGGGCAGAGACTCAAGATGGGGGCAGAGACTCAGATGGGGCAGAGACTCAGATGGGGCAGAGACTCAAGATGGGGCAGAGACTCAAGATGGGGCAGAGACTCAAGATGGGGCAGAGACTCAAGATGGGGCAGAGACTCAAGATGGGCAGAGACTCAAGATGGGGCAGAGACTCAAGATGGGGCAGAGACTCAAGATGGGGCAGAGACTCAAGATGGGGCAGAGACTCAAGATGGGGCAGAGACTCAAGATGGGGCAGAGACTCAAGATGGGGCAGAGACTCAAGATGGGGCAGAGACTCAAGATGGGGCAGAGACTCAAGATGGGGCAGAGACTCAAGATGGGGCAGAGACTCAAGATGGGGCAGAGACTCAAGATGGGGCAGAGACTCAAGATGGGGCAGAGACTCAAGATGGGGCAGAGACTCAAGATGGGGCAGAGACTCAAGATGGGGCAGAGACTCAAGATGGGGCAGAGACTCAAGATGGGGCAGAGACTCAAGATGGGGCAGAGACTCAAGATGGGGCAGAGACTCAAGATGGGGCAGAGACTCAAGATGGGGCAGAGACTCAAGATGGGGCAGAGACTCAAGATGGGGCAGAGACTCAAGATGGGGCAGAGACTCAAGATGGGGCAGCTCTTGTGGCCGTGGCGTGGCACGGCACTAAATGCGACACAGACGAGCTTCAAGTCTCCTCAAACACACACAGAAGAAAAACAAACGAACATAGTGATAGTGTGTGCAGAGAAAGCGTGCCTCGATGTGAGTGTGCATGCCGGCTCACCAGCTCCTGTGGTGTGGCTCGGCGCAGCGAGAGGGAGAGGAGGTGCAGCACGGGCGAGTAGTGCGGCGTGGCGTCCATGACGTAGAGCAGCTGGTACAGCAGACACACGCCTGGTCGTGGGGGGAAGTGGGGGAACGTGGGGGAAACGGGAAGGAACAAGGCACAGAGCTTACAAAGGTGAGAAGTGAGGCATGGCATCCATCACATAGAGCAGTCACAGGCCTAGTGGGTGCGGGACAAGAGAGGAGGCAAGGGAATGGCACAGAGCTCACAAAGGTTGGTGGTGAGGCGTGGCGGGCATCACATGATCACATAAACACATAAAGCAGCAGGTGGGGGAGACATAGGCCTGGTGAGGAAGAAAGGGGAGAGGGAAACAATCATCAAACATGCTCACCAACCCAGCCCAGACGAGCTCACCTTCATATGCCGTCTGTACCCAGCGGTACGCCGCAGTTGCGCCTCTCAACTCAGCAGCCTGAGACAGAGCTTGTTTCAAAGGGCTAACTCTAGCCTACTCCTACCCAGACCGCTTCACCACCACACAAAAGCTCACCTTCATATGGTGCCTGCAGCCAGGGGTACGCAGCAGCAGCGAATCTCAGCTACCCTCGGTCTAAAGTCGAGCTCTAGCCTACCCCAAAACACACCGCCTCACCTTCATACGGTGCTTGCACCCAGGGGTACGCGGCAGCGGCCCCTCTCACTGCCCGTCGCTGCACCCACCGCAGCACTCGCACCACCTGTCGCCACCTCCTGCTGCCCCTCGCACTGCTCCAGCTGCTGCCAATCGCACTGCTCCTCCTTCCAGCGTTGCCTCTGGCATGTGAAGTGCCAGCAGCGGCTCCTCCTGTCACCACCTGCCCCCCTTGGCCCCCCACCTCCTCCTCTCCTGCTCCTCCCTCTTCACGCCCGTCGGTAACTCTTGCCGTGGCCGCTGCCACACCCCCACCCCCTGGCGTTTCGCCCCTGAATCCCTCCGTCCCCAACCCATCATGTTGGTGCCCACGCACGGAACCAACAGAGCCCATGCTGCCAGGACTGCTGCTGCCACTCTCACTGCGCTCCCCTCCTCCCATGGCCCCACCATACTCATCTCCATACCCATCCCCATCCCCATACCCATGCCCAGGACCAGCATCATTCCCCCCATCCCTCTCCGCCCCCCACTCCTCCTCCCCCCCTGTTCCCCCCCACCCATCGTCCCCCCCTTCCCCCCCCACCCACAGCGCCCGTGCCTGCCTCTGACTCTGGTGGGCAGCAAACAGAGCATGCAGCTTGGCGCGCAGGTAAGGCAGCAGAACCTGGTATGTGGTAGAGGGTAGGGAGTGTTTTAAGTCGACTCGAATAGCATCCCTGCCTCTGCCTCTGGCGGGCGGCAAACAGAGAGGGCAGCTTGGCGCGCAGGTAGGGCAACAGCACCTGCCGTGCAGTAAAAGAGATGTGGTGTGGTGGAGAGACGAATGGGTAAGGATGGGTACAGGGTGCAGCTTGGCGTGCAGATAGGGCAGGAGAACCTGGTATGTGGTAGAGGGTATGGGTTATAGTGGAGAGATGAAAGGGTAGTGGTAGGGCTACATCTTATAGCAAACAGAGCACGCAGCTTGGCGCGCAGGTAGGGCAGGAGAACCTGGTATGTGGTAGAGGGTATGGGGTGTAGTGGAGAGATGAAAGGGTGGTAGCATTACAGGTTATAGCACACAGGGCGTGCAGCTTGGCGCGCATGTGGGGCAGCAGCACCTGGAGTGCAATAAAGAGTATGGGGTGTAGTTGAGAAAAGAAAACAGGGTGGGATTGACAGCAGCACAGGCATGAGGTACAGCTAAAACACTATCCTCAGTGCATTTTTTTCATTGGGTGCTTAAAAACATACAGCTGAGAGACTATCCTCCGCACCCTCAGCCAGAAATCACAAATAAAATACCCAACCCTGAACCCCAACCCTGAATCCCAACCCTGAACCCCAACCCTGAATCCCAACCCTGAATCCCAACCCTGAACCCCAACCCTGAACCCCAACCCTGAATCCCAACCCTGAACCCCCAACCCTGAATCCCAACCCTAACCTCAAACTGACCAGAAAGAGAAGAGACAGCACCCGCTGCTTGCGAGACATGCCATACGATGCCGACCCACCTTCCTGCCCCCCTGCCGCCCTCTCTCCTCTGCCTGCCCCCTCCGCCCCTCCTGCTGCTCCCCCTGCTGTGGCTCCTGTCCGTAATGATGCGTGGCTGGGTGAAGGGCGGTGCGGAACGGTGGAGATGCGGCGAAGGCCGTACATGGACTCGCCGAATGAGGCGCCTGGGATGGATGGGAGAAAGCAGTGGGGAGGTGAGGAGGAAGAAGGGAGAAATTCGAATCGAATGACCGAGATGCAGCGAAAGTCTTGCATGGTATATCGAATTTAGAGCCTGGGGGGGGAATAGTGGGGAGGTGACGATGGGGACGAAAATACGCTTATGTCACTTTTGAGAGTTCTAAACAAAAGGCAGAGGCATAGCGGGAAGGTGAGAATGGGGATGAGAGGTAAGGGGGAAAGGGAACAATGGAGACCTGGCGGTCATACGTACGGGTGGGCAGGTAATCGAGGAAGAATGGCTATGCGTGACACATGCATCACATGCTTGAAGGTGCTAATAACGAGTACAGAGTGCAGTACCATGCGTTTTAAGCGAGTGCCACTCGAGCAACAGCAGCGCAGCACCAGAGAGCTCGTCGCTGTGGTCCAGCAGGCAGTGCAGCGAGGGGCGGTGCTGTGCCAATACCTGAGGAGTGGGGGGCGGAGGAGGAGAGAGAAGAGAAGAGAGAAGAGGGAGTGTGCATTTAGGCTCATAGCAGCACGCTCGTGGTATGTGCAGCAGCGACGGTGGTGAGGTTGCAACGCCTGCACACAGAGGGAAGGGGGTGGGAGAAGGTGAGGCGAGGGGTTGGCCGGTTTGAGCTCTCAGGGATTGGAGGATAAAGGTTGGCTGGAGGGGGGAAAGGGTAGGCCGCAGGGGGAAAGGAGAGGGTGGTAAGCGAAACGACGGAGCTGATTGAGAAGTGAAACCCTCCAGATGTAGGATTTGATTCCTTCTATGCCACCACGAAGCCGGCATGCGTCAAGACCGCCTCCTCTCTCTGTGCTGCTACCATCTCTTCCCGCGCCCCACCATTTTCCGCCCTCCTTCCTTCCCCGCCTCCCTCTCTTCCCCCTCTCTCCTTCTCCCCCCACACAAGTGGCTTCAGGTGACGTGGCAGTGTCGTACGCACCCCTAGGGCGTATAGCGCGGCGGCTTTTAGCGAGGCGGGGAGGAAGTCCGCCGCCGCCATCTCGAAGAACGTCGGCCGACTGCCCTCCGCACCCGCCGCGTGGAACAACATCGTGCGATGTGCGGCGAGGTGTACGACGAGTTGTGCGACGAGTTGTGCGACGAGATGTGGTAAGAGGTGCGACGCGACGATAGCGAGTCTAGAGGGAGTATAAAACAGAGCCGAATAGGCGCGACGGCAGGAGAAGGCTCCACCAACGGAACACACGCTACGCTACGCTGTCGCGATTCGTGCTATAGCTGTCTAAATGCGTGGGACGAAATTGGCCAAGCCCTATGGCTCAAAATCAGTCGCTGTGGTAACCCTGAACATTGCACTTCAGGGGTTCGGGCATTTGATATGGTGCAGTATGGCACATTATTTTCATCATTCGGTTTTGCACGGTGCATGACCCGAAACAGGCTCAACCGAATTTGACGGCTGGCAGCAGCAACACTCAATCGATCACCGCTCCAAAAAACACCAAGCCACGCAGAACCGTTGTAAACTCTATCCTGCGATCAGTGAAGTTCTGGGAGCACTTCATGCAGCTATGGATGTGGATCAATTCGTGCTCCTTCTCGTTCTCCTCGCCCTCCTCCCCCTCGGGCTTCCCTATCCCGTCCGCCTCCCCTCCGCGCCTTGCGCCGCGCGGATCGCCGCGCGGAGCCTCGAGGGGCGCGGGGCCCGGGGCGCACCGCGTGCTGCGCACGTCGCTCAGCGTGAGATGCCGTGCCGACGTGCTCCGTCCACGTCATCCAGGCGCACACGTGGCGTGCGGAGAAGCGCCCGTTACTAGAACCGAGAGCCGCGCTTTCAGTGGAAACGAGGGAGAGACGGAAGGAGGGAGAGCATTCGGAGAGGAAGCGTGGCAGACAGATGGGTGCAGAGCGGTGCCAGAGCAGCGAACCCAGTCCAGTAGCTGCACTGCTGCTGATGAACAAGTGGGAAGCAGTGGGGCGGCGGGGAGGACACGTGTCACGATACGATTGGAGCAGCCTGTGCCACGTGGTCTATACGCAGATCCGTTTGAGCTGGAGCGAATCTTGCGACCAGGTGAGGCGGAGGGTTTCTTGGGCGCGTGAGGGGGGAAGGGGGAAGGGGAAGGCAGGGGGAATGCGCATTGAAAGGGAGGCAGGAGAAGTGCGCAGCGAGGGGGGCGAGTGCGCAGCGAGGGGGGGGGGGTGCACAGCGAAGGGGGGGAGGGTGCAGTGGGACAGGTAGCACAGTAATCATGCTGTTGCTGCTGTTAGTAGTAATTCTGCTGTCGTTTTGAACCCCACCCTTCCGTGTCTTCTCTCTCCTCCCCACCCTCCCTCCCTCCTCCTCCCACCCCCCCTCTCACCACTTCCCACCCTCCTCTTCCCCCCCGCTGCTCCCCTTCCTCCCTCCCTGACTTCCGAGCCAGCCGGCGACCGAGCCTGGGTGGCAGGTCCATTGGAGCTGGAGCAGCCGGCGCCGCGGTGTGAAGCAACAGTGGCGTTCATGGAAAGGGACGTGCCAGTGGGAACTGGGGAGGGGGATGCGCGCATGGGGGAGGGGAGGGAAGGGGGAGTGAATGCGGGGGAAGATGAGGTTGCTTTTTCAGTAGATTTCAGCCTGCCTCTGCACTCCCGATACCCTGTAACCAAACTTGAAATCCCTGTAACCATTTCGCCATGCCTTGTAACCACACGATTTGTTGTGAACGCTGTTGACTCGGTTCTTCTTACCATTAAGATTTCCTTATCCCATCTTGTACCTAACCACGCATTCCCACTACCGCCCATATTACTTCCTTTCATCTGCATATCTGGTAGAGTCTCCTACTTCGGTTGTCACTTTCACACCCTCACTACCTTTGATGCTTGTCTAATTTGTAAGAACTGTGAGGCACATCTCATTCTCAGAGAATATACATGTGCATAATGGTTTGATTTCTCTCAGGTGTAAGTTCTACTTCCACTATTCCATCCACTATCTCTCTGTGCCATGTTTTCTCCCCCGCACCACTCTCCCCACCACAATCTTCCAGGCTGTGCAGCCACCTCTCTCCCCCGCACTCTCCCCGCTCTCCCTCCTCCGTTCCGCCTCTCACTCTCTCCTCCCCCTCACCTCCCTCTCCTGGGACTTGCAGCAACTTGAAGCCGCCCTTCACAGGAACCACTCTGCTCTCTCCTCTCTCTCCTCTCGCTTCTCTCTCTCCACCCTCTCCTCTCTCTCACGAGCCATCATCGGCAGCTCCAGCCAATCACACGCTGCGGTTTATGTGCCCTTGCCTTCCGCATGCCTCGTGCTCCCTCCCCCGACCTGCGTGGGACCATCCGCCCTGCACCCATCAACACCATCCGCCCTGCACCCATCAACACCATCCTCCTTAGCACCAGCGTCGCCATCACCATCAGCATCCACAGCAGCATCAGAATCATCAGCCCCACCATCCTCAGCACCAACTTCGCCCGCAGCAGCATCAGAATCATCATCATTATCACCATCACCACCATCAGCAGCAGCATCAGCAGTGTGTGATGCCATCACTACACCCCGCTGCTGCGAGTGCCTGCTGATGCAGCCCACCTGGTCGTCACAACCAGCAGTTGCAGAGGGAGAATCAGACAGAGCGCGGCTGGGAGCAGCAGGGCTGGGAGGAGACTCGGAGGAAGCGAAAGCAGCAGCAGCAGAGAAAATGCACGACGAGGAGAGAGGGGAGAAGGGGGGGGGAAGGGGCGTTGCAATGGGAGGTGCCGGCGGGTTGTGCTGCCCATACGCCCCTGGTGCTCTGGGGTACGTCCCTAGCTTCTGCTGTGGGGGCTCTGGTGCTTGTTGCCGTGGCTGCTGCTGCCCCCGTGCACACAGCAGGTGCCAAGGCCAGCAGTTGAGGCGTGAAACAAGTGTTGAGGCGTCTCATGTCAGCTCAACTGGTTCAGTGCACATCGGAGTTACGAAGGCCTGGAGCTGAGGTGTGGAATGACACAATTGGGAAGAGCAGAGGAGCAAATCATTTGCTGCTGGAGCTGTGGGGGCTCTGGTGCTGTTGTAGTTACTGTTGCTGCTCCAACGCACTTTAGGCGGCACGCGTACTAAGCAAAATCACGCACGAGCTCAGAAAGTTCTCAGCTCATCATGTTCAGGGCAGAGTAAGACACATGTGTCTACTGAGTTCATGCAAGTTGTTTGGGCCCACCAAGTGGGTGCTCATGCTGCATATGAAGACGTGTCACACTCTTATTGTCTCTGGATCAATTACTAATCAAAGCAGAGCATTCTCATGAACACAAGCATTTATTATATATGAATCAGCCTAGTACAAGAAGAGCAATAACAGTGTCTAAATGGCAGGGGTCAAGATAGGCATGCTTGTGCCAATCATTGCAAGTGCACCGGGCCAGAGCAATCCCTTTGGGAGCACATCTAACCAGAGCCATCCCTTGGGGAGCGTTCGAGGCCAGAGCCATCCCTTCAGGAGCGCACCGGACTAGAGCCATCCCTCTGGGAGCGCACCGTGTCAGAATAATGAACAAGGATGAATGAACTAGCAAACAGTTGGGTACAAGAACTAACCCTAATTGGGTTGTACCCCTTATGGGCTACCCCACTATAGCCTACACAAATGTAAAAGCTATAATGTTTTGACACACCCCCATAGGCAAAGTGGGGGAGAACAAGTGGTCACAAGCAAAGGACCACAAGGCCAGTTGACATGCAGAGTGATATAAAGAAAACAAACAATACAGTGATCGTATCCTAGCGGGTGCAAGCGTGCAGGTGTGTGTGTAGAGATCACAGTACAAGCAGACTCAAGCAGTAAGCAAGTGAGGCAAAGTAGGCACAAGGCCAAACACAGTAGAGAAGCGCTGATGATCATCAGGCGGAAGTGCCTTGGTGAATATATCAGCAGTGTTGGCCCTAGTGGCCACGTACGCAAGACGAAGGTGGCCACGCTGCTGCAACTCTCGAGCAAGGAAGTATCGCAGAGCGATGTGCTTCGTTCTGTGCTCCAGTCTATGCTCCTGACACAAGGCAATCATGGCCTTGTTGTCTACGTAAAGAACTGGAGGCGAACGAGGCTGCTCTCCCAAGTCAGTCAGCAGGTAGGTGAGCCAGCGTAGCTCCTGTGCAGCCATGGCCCCGGCGTAGATCTCAGGGTTGAGAACCGAAGACGAGCGGGTAGACCGCCAGGAAACAGAGCCAGAGCCAAGGCTGAAGGTGTAACCCTGTGACGACCGCTGCGTTGCTGAGTCGTCAACTCAAGAAGCGTCTGCGTGACCGGTGAGGACAACTGGACCCCGTCCTCCAAGCACGAGCCCCATGCCCGATTTACTGCACAAGTAACGCAGTACCCTCTTCGCAGCATCCCAGTGCACCTTTCGGTGCCTGCCGGGAGCCACGTAGCGAGCCAGGAGGCTGAGAGGGTACGCGAGGTCAGGTCGAGTGCACGTCATCAGGTACATGAGGCAACACACAAGCTCTGGGTACGGATCACTCGGCTCTACGGACTCGTCCGAAGTTGGAGCTGAGAGTGAGTGGCTGGTAGACAGAGGAGTGGGATGTGGCGAGGAGAACTGGAAGCCGAAGCGCTGAAGGACCTGGTGCACCATGTGTGACTGAGTCAGGGTAATGGTGCGCCGAGCTCTGTCCCGGGTGATCTGCAAGCCAAGATAGCTGCGCAGTTCACCCAGGTCAGTGCAGGTGTGTCTCTTCTACAGCTCCGACTTCACAAGGGTCAGTGCCTGAGTGTCAGTAGTGGCAAAGACGAGGTCGTTAACGTAGACAAGCACATAGAACGGCGGCAGCGAGATGTCGGTGTGTAGAAACAGCGACGGGTCAACAGTAGCACGAGCAAACCCAAGAGCCGCAAGTGTAGTCCTCAGTGTGTCGTGCCACTCGCGAGGCACCTGATGGAGACCGTAGACTGGCCGCCGAAGACTCCACTGAGTACCTGCAGGAAAAGACTCAGTGGAGTCTTCGGCGCAGGCACGAGAAGGTGGGCGGCGCAGCCAGATCTTCTCGTGCAGGCTGCCCTGCAGGAAAGCTGTGCTGAAGTCCAGAGAGTGCAACTCGTAGTCACGTTGAGCAGCGACGTGCAGCAACACCCGAAGAGTAGTCATCTTCGGGGTGGGGGAGAAGATCTGGAAGTTGTCAACTCCCTGTCGCTGACTAAAGCCTCGAGCAACGTAACGCGCCTTGAAGGCAGGCGGAGAACCCGGCGGCCGCTTCACCCTGAAGATCCACATGCCATCGACTATGTTCGCCCCAGGTGGGGGAACCTCGTTGACGTAGGTGCCTGTGGACTTCCAGGATGCCATCTCGGCATCCATGGCTGCCTGCCAATGAGAGGAGTAAGGAACCGTAATCGCCTCTGCGTAAGAGCGCGGGGTCGGGATGTCTGGTGCATCCGGGTCTCCCTCAGGGGCAAGTAGCATGGAAGTGAAACGAGGTACAGCAGCTGCAAGACACTCAAAGTCCTCCTGCCTGTCCTCAAGGACGTCCGTGCCAAGAGCACACTCACCCCCGACGGACGGAGGACTGGCAGACGCAGACCCAGCAACTAGAGCAGTGGCGTAGTCTAGAAGGCAGGCAGCAACAAAGTCAAGCAGCTCAGCAAAGAGAGCAGACGCAGCAGCAGACTCAAAAGAAGGATCTGTGACAGTAGTGGCGAGGAGACGAGAGACAGTGGGAGTGGCAGCATGAGCGCGGTCAGACTCAGGGTCAGGGACGGCAGGAAGAGAGGACTCAGGAGGAGCAGGCAGAGGAACAAGCAGTGGAACAAAGGAAGGACGGAGTGCCATAGCGTGCGTGCCGGGGACAGGAGGAGGACACGAACGAGGAGCGCGACGAGCAGTGCGAACAGGCAAGACAGGACGAGACGCAGGCTCACGACGCTCTGTAAGACCGCCTGACCGCTCAGTGTAAGGAGAGGGAGCAGGCAGAGGGGAGGCTGGCTATAACGGCGGCTGCGATTGGTCAGGCGGGGGACACAGTAAGGGAGGAGTAAGGCCAGTAGAAGACGGGACACCAAGAACCTGCTGAAGCAGGGGAACGAAGTACGGTCGCGGCCGCACAGTGCCACCAGCACCTCCAGCTCCAGGGTCAACAGCTCCAGCTCCTGCAGCTCCAGCGCCTCCCGCGCCAGTGCCTCCAACTCCAGCTCCTCCAAGTCCAGCGCCTCCAGCGCCAGCTCCATCAGCGCAAGAGCCTCCAGCTCCAGCAGCTCCAGGCTCCGTAGGGTCTCCAGCTCCAGCGGCCCCAACACCACTAGTCCCGGCAGCTCCAGTACCCTTGGTACGAGCACCTCCAGAACCAGCAGCCACAGTACCTCCAGGACCACCAGCTCCAGCAATAACTCCAACACCTCCAGCTCCAGCGTCTCCAGCACCTCCAGCTCCAGGAGCTCCACTCCGAAGGCGTGCGCGTCGAACAAGCCACCCACGCAGCTGCGGCGGAGACAGTCGCGGCGAAGCACCAGCAGGACCTCCAGACGAAGCAGCACCCCGAGGCTCAGCACCCCCAGACTCCGCACCCTCCGACTCAGCACCCCTAGGCTCAACACCCTCAGGCTCAGCACCCCCAGACCCAGCACCCTCAGACCCCGCGCCCCCGGGCTCCGCACCCCCAGATGCAGCACCCCCAGACGCAGCACATGGAGCAGCACCTGAGCCGACAGCTACCTCGACAGGGAGAGGGTCTACCTTAAACACACCTAAGGGAGCAGGACCCTGGGGCGGGAGGGGGTCTACTGGGGGGGGGACCGGGAGCAAGGAAGAGCGGCAGGGGCGGGGGAGGGGCAGAGCGGTAGGGGAAGAGACGGTAGAAGAGAACCGACTCGTCGAACGTGACGTCCTGAGACAGGAGGACACGACGCGAGGTGGGGTGGTAAAACTGCCAGCCAGGCGCGTCAGGGACGAAGCCAAGGAAGACGCAGGGGATAGCACGGGCGGAGAGCTTGTCCGCGGACGTATCGCGAACAAAGGCACAAGAACCCCAGACCCGGAACACCGACGCATCGCCAACCTCCCTCGTCCAACGCAGTGTGGGCGAGGTCTCCGGTAAGGAGACACGGGGCCAGAGGTTGAGCTGATGCGCCGTGTACCGACCTCAAACGGCCACATAAAATGGGGAGCAGCCGCATGGATCATGGAGGTACGAGCGACCTCCATGACTAAGCCAATGCGGCGCTCAGCAATCCCACAAAAAAAGTCCCGCAAGAGGTTGGAGGAGAACTCACCACCTCTGCTAGAGTGCAGACGCAAGACAGGAAGGTCCTGGCCGAACCGCTCGCGGAGCCGGAGACGGACCGTGCGGATCCAAGGGATGAAGACATCAACAACTTCACCCTTGCTGCGCAAGGGGAAGACCGTGGTGTACCGCGTGTAGTCGTCAACTACCAGCAGAAAGTAGTGTTCGCGGCCCTGTCCACTGACGCGGGCTGGGCCCCACACGTCCATGTGGAGAGTCTACAGTGGAGCAGTTGTCGGGGGAAACGAGGAGGAGTGAGGAGCGGCGCGCTGCCGCCCCTCGACACACGGAAGGCAGGGCGGGGCAAGCGAGGGCGGGAGGGGAGGCAGAGACCTGGGAAGACCAGAGACGAGAAGACGGGAGTGCATGCCTTGAAGGTGTGGCAGGGAGGGGTGACCCAGGCGGTGGTGCCACAGAAGAGTCTGGTGCGACAGGAGGCGACACGAGCAAGAGGCGGCTACCTGACCTGACGCGGACACCTAAGCAGACGCAGCTACCTGAGGAGGCTCAGTAGCGAGTGTGTATAGACTCGACCCTGGCCGACGAGTGAACGTAGCCAGGTGACGCCCCGTCCGTGTGCACGTGCAGATCGACACACGCTGACCCCTAGGAGTGGTGGTAGTGACCATCGCATCCTGGAGGG